TGGACCGGTTTGGCTCGGGTCAGGCCTGAGCTGGGCGGTTCAGTTTGGGCAGCCCACTAGTGGGTTTGGTTTGGTCTTTTGCTTGCTATAAGTAGGGATTAATGGGGGATTTCTAGGGTTATGCAAGATTTGAGTTTTCTCTTAGTCTCCTTAGTTTCTTTCTCTTGTTTTTCTAGGGTTTGTAGTGGGAGACCTTGTCCTTCTCGAAGTGGACAAATTGTATCTTGTTTTTTCTTGGATTTTGAATGCAAAGGTTCTTGTTCTTCCTCTCATCCCTCTTGTGTTGATTTTTTTCTTGGATTTAAAGGAGGAATTTCATCTTTGGAAGAGCATTAGGGCAAACCCTAACTTGGGAAACCTAGGGCGTATCAGAGTGCCTGTGCCTTTTGCTTTGGCTATAGTGGACATTATCCTGTATTATGTATAATGTCTCGAAGTGTCTAACAACTAGCCATCTAAAAGAAGAAATATGGCTGTGCAAAATACAAATTTAACAGAAAAGTTTACTTAAAACATTCAAAAGCCGTCAGTGCAAAATTTTGTATTTCGTTCATTTTTTAAGTTTTCTTCCATGTTCCAGGATCTTCATGTTGCTACTGTGAGAAGAAAAGGCAATCGTAGTCATTTGTTGTTATGCAGGAACTTGGATAATAACTTGCCCTTATGATTTTTTTTCCTTATCTATTGCAGGTTATGTTTTACTCCTTGGCTGTGGTGACATTTGGAACTGCTGTTCCTGCTGGTCAGTTTGTTCCTGGAATAATGATTGGTTCAACTTATGGACGGCTTGTTGGGATCTTCGTGGTTAAGTATTACATGAAACTGAATGTCGATGAAGGAACGTGAGTGCACTATTTTTCTATCTAATTGTGACATAATATGCCTTAAACTCGGATCTTAGGTTAGCTTGTTTAAGGCGATTTTCTGGGCACTCTTTTTTATTTTTTGAAAATTGTTCTGGGCACTTTTGAGAATATTTATATAACGCTACAAACTTCTTGCTTTCACTCCGAGTTTTTTTCATGTCTTTAACAAGGATTTGCATTCTTCAGTTGGATCATGTTGGCAATTAATAATAAATTATCTTATTTCATGTATGAGGGATCTAATTAATAAATACATCAGATTGTGTGAACTCAACAAAGATCTTGATCTTGTGTTAAAATTTTGATCTCCAAATAGACAACTTCAATAAATCAATGCATGTTGCACCTAAAGTTCGGGCATTGTCTGATGTAGAATGTCTTAGGGTGGTTCACTAATGTCTCGCTTAGCTGAAGATTTACCGTACAATGAATGAGTCGGTATGCATTAAACTTGATGATCATCCATCCAGCTATTTTGTTGAATTAAAACTCAAATTCTAAGAAATTTATATTTATTTAAGTTTGTTTGATTGATAAGAGTTTAATATATAGAGTCAGGAATTCTAATTATGAAATTCAGGTTTAAATAGGCTTTGCTAAAGCTCAACTCGTCTAATAATTAGGGTTCAAATCTCTAGAATTAAGCCTAATTAACTATCTTAACTAAGCTTAAGACCCAATTAATTCCATAAGTGCACTAAATTAATTTGATATTCATGATTAACCAGTCATGTTCAAACCGTATTCAACCTATTATTAATTATTTCCACCCAAAATCACATCACTTAAAAAGTCAATGACCATATTGGTGCCGCAGGCTTGGTACACACTTCCTTTCACGTCCTTACCCACAATCACATGCCTGTCACTCTTGTACCTTTTTGTACCTACAATTGTGGATGCCTCTTGTATCTCCCTCTCTTATGCATCCTATTGTTCAAACCCCCTACTTCGTTTTTCTCTGTACCTCATGCTCTCTATTTTTGGTGCCTCTCGCAAGCACTTATCTCCTGCATCTCTTTCCCTTTCACACACTAACCCTCATGCTTGTTCTCCAATCTTGGTCAGTGTTTCTCCTCTTTATTATAACGCATGACTCACTCTTGTGCCTGTCACTCTTGCTTACACTTGTTTAAAGTTCACTTTCTATAGCACTCATCTTGCCCCATTGCATGGTCCCTTAGAATCCAATGACCTTTTCACACAAGCATAGATATGAATCCTATTTTTTCTTCCATGATAATTTCCTCAAATTCAAATGAAGGTGAATAATCGAAGAGCTGTTGATAACCCACGTCAATTAGTGGTCTAATTTAGCTTTGAAGACCATCCCTCTATCTTCGATCTTTAGTCCAACGTGAGGTCCCTTCTTTCCTTGATCTTTGGTTTGGATAAAGCAAGTGATTGCGTATTGCCCACTGGCTATGCATAAATAAAATTAATTTGTGAAATAGCCTGAAAAATGTAAGTGAATAGTCCTAGAGCCATCAATCTTTGGTTCGGTTTGATTAAAGACTTTGCATTGCCAATCTTTGTTCAAACTTAGCTTTGAAGATCACCTGATCTTTGGTTCGAATACATAGAGCAATTTATTTTCTCACCTAAATTTGCGTTAGGTTGAAACTTGTCTATTGCTTTCAAGATATCGTTGAGAGGAGGCTGATGCAATCACTTAGTGACTTTGTTGTCATCAACATGCTTAGGATAACTTTCTTTTATCATTTGTTGATATAGTATCTCTGACGAGAAGAAAATAAAGATGGTCCATAAACAAATCCTTGTCCTACTAAATGTTTTGATAGGAACATTGATGATGATATGGACAAATCAATTAAAACTTTTAAATTTACCTCAAACTCACGTATGACTTTTCCATATAAAAAGAGATGAAATTTCTTAAATGTAATAAATACCCAACCCTTGCACATGCGCCAATTGGTTGTTCAACATTTGAATTAGCAAGAATGCTATTCTATCTGGAATAAGTCCCACAATTTCAATGACGAGAGAAATAAATTCGTGTAAGCTTGCTGCAACTGATCTCACAATGTAATTCATCCTATCCATATTTCATGATCATAAAATATTCATCAACTTTAAATTGACTTGATGGTGCATTTCATAAAACATGAACTGCTTTACGCATTTGAACTTATTTTGAAAGGTGCACCAATATGTCAGCATTACTGCAGTCATTTCAATCATATTAATGCATTTGCCATATGCATCAATGTATGCAAGGCATACTAACATTCCCTGAACTTTGATTTATACACATAATACTGGCTTGATTGATCAGGTTGATGGGCCAAGGACTCCGGCATGATCTTAATAATTGCCAATTGATCTTAGTGTCCTGGTGATTCACCACTATTAGAGCATCTTGCCTACAAGAAACGGTCATAATATCCATGCTTACAAATCATCTACATTCAACATCAAGATTTACATCAATACCCTTGAGCCTAAGATTTTAAATCCTAACTGATTAAGCCTCTAGAGCAAATATAGTAGTAAGTCCTAATATTCTAATCAAAATATTCAGAATAGTAAATCAAAGCAAGTTCTCTACTTAGGCATACTAATTAATAGGCAACACAAAGCCAACTTGCTTATCAAGTCAAATCAAAAGGGATCATATCTATAAGGTAAGGCTATAAATAAGACCATCATCGAGTTTTTTTCTCCTTTAAGATTTTAATTCTTTTTTTCGGGCCTTCCAATGGATTTAAGCCTTACGCCAATCAATTTGGGTTGACCAAATATTATGAATCCCATTAAATCAAAATTTGGGCCTTATTCATAGTCCTAATGAATTTTATCCCCATCCCAATTAATTTAGGCCAATACAAAGCCAATAACCCTATCAAATCATGTTTAGTTATTAGGCCTTCAAATGCATATAAGCTCCAACCCAAATTGAATTCAAATTATCCCTCATGTGAACAAACACACCAATCAATCAAATATCAAATGTCACAAACACATTTCCTTAAGTTATATTGAAACTTATGGATAAATGATGGTTATGCTAAGTTAGACATGTTTAGTGCCTCTGAGGCCATGTTGTGCCTATGAACTATTCAACGAAACTATTGCAATCATCTCTATGCCAATAAGTGAGTTGATGCTCTTGAGCGAACCTCTTCAACTTTTCGCCTTGATTTGCACAAGATAATTGAGAAGGGGCGACTCATGATTTCTATTCAATCTCTTTGATGCTATAGCTCAAAGGTCACCAATGTTTGCAAATTTAGTCTATAAGTAGGACCAGGATGATAGAATCTTGAAATTATGTTTGAGCTTGCCTCCATACCCCAACCATTCTCCACTCAATTAAATTCATATCAAAATATTAAATAGAAAAATCCCAAAATAGTCTCCAGATTATTCGTGTATGGTCAATTTAATTCAAGAGTAACACGTTGCCACAATTTAGTCCCTTGACTATACAAAATTGATTCAAAATAGTACCTTATATTGAATTGTAATATAAAATTGATCCCAATTTAGTCCCTCGACTTTATAATTGATTCCAAATTAATCTCAAAGGGACCATTTTGGATCAATTTTGTTTAGTCGGTGGACTAAATTGGAGTAATGTTATACTCTTGGACTAAATTGATCATATACAAATAGTCAGGGGACTATTTTGAAATTTGACTCAAATATTAAATCTAAGCCCAAAATGTCCCTAATAAATCTCCTTTATTGAGAATGATCTCTTGTTAGCGAGAGAGATAATTAACCTAGGAGTGGTCTTGTATTATTGGAAGTCATGACCTTAGATATAATTAAACCATGATATAATATTAGTAGAAATTTGATTAAAATGAACTTAATCTATCTCAAGGAAAACTAATATTAGGTCTTCTCTCATACATCAATGAGGCTTCAGGAAGGGGTGATCAAAATTCCTGGTAACTCCATTGGAAAAGACTTTTCTCTTCACCCCTAACTAAGTTGCTTAAGGCTCCAACTTCCTGTGCTTAATATAATTCTAAGCTTAGTGAGTGTCGGTCCATACCAGTAGAGGTTGTTATTTGATTCATTCACTCGGCATACAAAATTATGTTACATCGTGTACTGCATTATAAATTAATTCATTCAGTATTAAAAAATAATGTCATATTGAATTTCTTACAAAATCAATTATGCCTCTTAACCATTAAGTTTAAGGTTTAGTGTTCCAAATAAAACTAATCTTGTCTTTTATTTTTGTCTTATTACAAGTATTAAATAAAGCTACAACTAATGATATATGCACACACCAACATAATCGTGAAGTTTGGAAAGGTTCAACTTCTCAGTTCCGCTAGACAATCAGCAATATCAGTGCTACTGAAGCCAGTCTCCAGTTCCTCCATGGTGATGAGGTTTGTCCCCACTAAGGGTTATTGAAGTTGCACCAGCCTTAAGGGCCCCTATTGAAGAAGCTATCACATTGAGCACAGATTGAGAGTACCGCACAAATGATATAAACCACAAAAAGCAACTTTAAGTTGCACACTTCCTGATCAGTGGCAATCACTACTAGAACATGGAATCGCTGGCTAATTACAAAAAATCGATTAGGACGAGTAATGAAAATAATTCTAGCATGTGTAAAACTGTGGCTGGACTTTCAACCTATTCAATCCCAACAGGGAAACAAAGGATTTCATAGTCACAGGGAGAAGAGAGGATTTGGAATATGCACGAGTGCTAAACCGAAACAATTTGTAGAAGAAAAAAAATCAAATCTTTGTGGAAGAAAAATAATTAAATCCACCTAGGTAATTAGAATATTACAATCGGCACTCATAAAACCATCACAGGCAAGTTTTACAAAAAAAAAAAACTGCCGCTAGCTTGTCGATTTAGATGACCACTATGGATTGTTGGTCTATCATAAGCTACGCAATGTTTACCAATTTGTGACTGAAGTTGTTACAAATTTTGGGCTTACAGGTATATCAAAAGATTTGAAGGTTCAATATTTTGATGATTAATAATGGATATCGTATCCTAAAGAGCTGAATATTCGTTAACCAGTTCATATTCTGGACTATTATCACTCTCTATGTTGAATTAAACTTATTATCTTTCATAGTATTTGTTATTAATGCTATGTTTCTGAATGGAAACTGCTAGCTTTATAATCATGATCATGTTCTTTAGTTACAACATGTGCCACTAATTTGGGGCATATTTTGTGTTCCAATTAGTCATTTCCTTGCATGCATTTTTAAGCTTTCATTTAAAATTTTTGTTGTATTGGACCCAGATCTTGCTTATGATCAAAAGTTACTACTGATAAAAAATTGCTAAACTGTATGATTTTTTTTTTTTTTGATGGATAAATTACCTGTTGTGCAGTTATGCTCTACTTGGTGCTGCTTCATTTCTGGGAGGGTCTATGAGAATGACGGTTTCATTATGTGTTATCATGGTTGAGATCACAAATAACTTAAAACTTCTTCCCCTTATCATGCTTGTTCTTCTCATATCCAAGGTATTATCTTTAGGTCTAGGTAACTGTGATTTATAACTTGATGGAAGACTAGTTCTAAGTCATATTTTGTTAGGCTGTTGGTGATTTTTTCAATGAAGGATTGTACGAGGAGCAAGCACGTTTGAGGGGCATCCCTTTGCTCGAATCTAGACCCAAACAGTTTATGCGAAACATGATAGCACAAGAGGCTTGCAAGAATCAACAAGTAAAGTTCCATTCATTATAATTCATACAAAATTCACAAATTTTTTTATTTTTTTAGTTTTCCATCTCGTGACTTATTGACATGTCATTTTTTTTTTTTGGGTATAAACAGGTTATATCCTTTCCTCGCATTGTTAAAGTTTCCGAAATACTTTATGTTTTAAGAAGTAACAAGCACAATGGCTTTCCGGTGAGTGGTTTTTGTACCATCTGTATTTTATTTAGAAACATTATAATCGGTAGTTTTTCCCCTAATTATTAGTGTATGTTTTGTTAATCTAAGGTGGTAGGTCACGGACGGAATGGAGAAGAACTTGTCATAGGCCTCATGCTTCGTAGGTATGGCCCAATAACTTATTTTTCAGCAGTTTTGCTTATAATCTAAAATAATGCATTTTTTTTTAGGTTTTTAGATTTCTTTTTTTTTTAGATTTATGCATTGGAAGACTGATTTTCTGATGTTATCGGTTTCTCTGTTCTGTTTAAGCCACTTATTGGTACTTGTACATTCAAAGAGAGATTTCCAGAGCAGCCCTTTTCCATGTGATCCTAGAGGTGTAACCAGCAGGTATGTTGTTTTCTATGATTCTTTCCTCATCTTCTACCTTTTCCAAGCTGTTTTTATTTGATAATTATTTCCTTAGCAGGCACATCTGGAGTGAGTTTGTCAAACCTATCTCTAGTAAAGGCATGACCATTGATGACATTCATCTCACCGAGGATGAAAAAGAAATGTACCTAGATCTAGCCCCCTTCCTCAATCCTTGCCCATATGTAGTACCAGAGGACATGTCTTTGGCAAAGGTGACTTATTTTGATTTGAAGAATTTTTGTAACATTCTTTACCAAGCCCAGAGATAAATATTTCTGTATGCGTTATATACTTGTTTGGTTCAATGGTATAGGTTTACAATCTTTTTCGACAATTGGGACTGAGGCACATCTTTGTTGTACCTCGCCCTTCTCGTGTCATTGGTTTGATCACCAGGAAGGATTTGTTATTTGAGGTACCTTACTAAACTGTTGAAATAGACAACGCTCTTTAAAAATTTGACAAGCTGCTTGCTGCCTGTATTTTCAGGAGAATGATAATCCAGCTGCAATGGAACTTCAAACCACTAGTGTAAGGTCTTACTGCTACCTATCCTTAATAATATCACTTATAGTTTGTTAACTGATTGCTTAGTTGGTAATACTTTTTTGGAACTTCGATCTTCAAAATTTTATGGAAAATTTTCAGGAGAATGATAATCCAGCTCCTCGCTTCAACATTGAATATTTTAAAATTTTTTTGCTACATTTATTATTCTTAAAAAGAAAACATTACTTATAAGATAATGAAAAACATTTAAAATTAAATAAGAAATATATTTTTCCAAAAAAAACTTTTATGAGAGAACCATAAAACAACCATGTATTGATCAATAACTCAAACTAAATATTTTTTTGCTTTGAAAGTAACTTTCATGATGAGGATCTCACGAGTTACGTGATGGATTTTACTTTAAAAATTGAATGGATCAAGATAATTGGTCTGTAAATGAACAACATCACATTGTTTATGCTCATTATTGTATTCTTTTATAATGTTTGAGTCGAACATGCATTTTAGAGATTTGATTGTCATTTAAAACATCAATTGTTTCTGTTTGATTTTTAACTTGTCAAGAATTCTCCTCGTTCTGCACAAATTTCTCGCTCATTAATCATGTATTGATCAATAACTCCAACTAAATATTTTTTGCTTTGAAAGAAACTTCCATGATGAGGATCTCACGAGTTATGTGATGGATTTTACTTTAAAGATTTAATGGATCAAGATAATTGGTCTGTAAATGAACAATATAACATTGTTTCTGCTCATTATTGTAATCTTTTATAATGTTTGAGCCGAACATGCATTTTAGAGATTTGATTGTCATTTAAAACATCAATTGTTTCTCTTTGATTTTTAACTTGTCAAGAATTCTCCTCCGTCTTCTTCGTTCTGCACAATTTTCTCTCTCACTAACCACCAAGTAGTTTCCATTTTTAATGTAAATCCAAACATTTTTATAAAATAAGAATTGCATGTAGTTCGCAGAAAAAGAAAAGTAAATTCAACACGTGCCCCCCTACCTAAAATCCGCTAGTGCATATGCCTCACATCATATATA